TGTCAAAATTTTAGTCTTTATTATAGTCACAAAGCAAAAAGGCCATAAATCCGCAGCTGCAGCTAAGCATGCAGGAGTAAAGAACTAAAAAAAAATAAATGCTTATAACTACGTGCAATTTGTGTAGGCTGTAGGAAATGAATAATTTTTAAGGAGCAGTATGTAGTGGTGGGGCAAATATTTTAAAAGCTGCACTAAGCTTATAGAAACTTTAGTCGTTTAAGGACCGTTTTTTTACAGATATCATAAAATTCGGGAAAAAGTATTTTCTTGCTTTAAATACTTGAAGTGACTCAAGAAAAATAGCCCTGTAGAAAAGAATTTGATATGACTGCAGTGGTTATGAAAGAGTTTTGCGACAAATCTCTAAAGAAATAAGATCAGGTTTAGTGGGTCATTTAAAAATTTGCTACAAATTCCACCTCAATTAATACTTTAGAGGTAAAAGTGATGTTTAGTTAGACTAGTGTTCGCCAGCGGTTGAAATTCAACCTTTTAGATTAATGGGAGTTGAGGGGGGCTGAACTGAGCCGACTTGAGTTTAATTGCGTAACAGAATATAACATAACATAACATAGCTTAACATAACACAACATAACATAGCGTAGCATAACACAACATAACATGGCTTAACATAACAAACACAACACAACACAATACAATACAACAAAACACCAGAATACACAACACAAGACAACAAAACATAGCATAAAATTACATAACATAACACAACATAACATATTGTCATAACATAATAATAATAGATTGGCGCTTACACATTTGTTAGTGCTTGGCCGAGCTTCTCCTCCAAATTGTGGTGTGCGCCTTGATGTTGTCACACAAAGCGGAGGGACCTACAGTTTTACGCCGATTCCGAACGGCGATTGTATTTTTATGAGAAGCTGTTTTTCATTGCAGAAATACACTCGAATTTTTGCCATTGCCTGCCGAGGGACGACCGCTATTAAGAAAAAACCTTTTTTCTATATTTTTTGCGTTGTTGCTTTGACCAGGCTTTGAACCCAGGCGTTGCGGAGTGGAAGCGCACACTGCTTACCACTACACCACAGCGGCCGTCAAAACATAACATAACATAATAAAACATAGCATAAGATAACATAACACAACACAACACAAAACAATAAAACACCACACAACACAACATAACATGTTATTCTTCAATTTTATATCTTTTTTTGTCTCTATCTATATTGGGGTCTGCGACATCTGCAAAAATAAATTATCGCAAATTCGCTGTTGGATTTCTAGTGGGAAAGAGACTTCGCCAACAAGTAGTGCCGTTCGCATCAGTGGACGATTGTCTCGATATAATTCATATGAAAGCGAGATTCTCCCAACATCTCGCTCATTTGCGCTACACTCCTCGAGGGAAGAGGAATACGATATGACCAAAAATAACTACAGACTACGAAACCGCACTACGGCTGATCCACTTCAACGACACAGGGAGGTGGGGAGGGAGAAAGGAACGAAAAAAGTGAAAAACAGCAAACTACCTACCAATGAAACTAATAAATAAAATGGTTGTGTAACAAGACGTGGAGCAATACCATCAGCTCCATCAGAATCGGGAGAGATAGCCGTTTGATACCAGGCAAATTTTTAGTAAGGCTATTTTCTATGATACGATTGCTTTGATCTGATGCCTGTTAATGTATTAAGAGCTGTTCTACCTTTGTCAAGTTGGATATGGAAGCAAAACCAATGGTTCTGGGAGTAGAAACACCTATTTGAGAACCCGTGTGAAGATCCCTCATTTTTCATATTCTTCTTTTACTTCATATTTGAGGCTGTAGGCTGATAATTTCTCTGCTGTGCCTACTGACGTAAATTGGAAATGCCTAGTGAAGCCAAGTCCTTCTTCACCTTGTTTTTTATCGCAGAGGAAGCTTTACTATCCGTGGATCTGGGATAAGGAAATTTAAAAATTATTAAGATGAAACTTCTTAAGCGAGTTCGGAGATGTTTGCGTTAAATATTTAACGCCACGATGAGGGTGGTATATGGCTAATGCGTGGGCATAAAACGAACGGCTGCGTTGAATGCCACTAGGGATGGGGAAACACAAAGACAAAAGCGAAGACAACGACAAAAACCAGAACCAAATTGGCTTTTATTTTTAAGAAAAGAAAAGGATTGGTCAATAAAATAAGACATTTCACCTCCTTTCTACAAAAATCGTGTCTTTGAGAGTTTTTACTGCCTCCTATATACTGTGAATGCAATAACACAAAAAAAAATAAAAAATAGAAACACACGAAGCAATCAGTACAAATAAGTACCCAAAAAACTGTGGATCAAATATAGTCAAACTGCGTTTTTGGGGTTTCTCTCAGACGCGTCAGGATTTTTTTTTAACGATCTTTGTCTCAAAGATATGATTTATTCAAAAATTATTTAAAATATTCACTGCACTGTAGAATAACAACCTGGGTGCCAATTGAAAGAGAAAATTCTGTGGAATTGAAAAAAAATAAAAGTTTGGTCCGTGGGAAAAATAGTTAGATATTGAAAACGCTTTTTTTAATTAATTTAATCTTTTAAGAATTTTTCAAAAACAAGTCTTGCCGAATTTCAAGGAGATTTAAGGATAAAATTTTAACAGTACATTTTCAATAACTTTTCGTCCTTGAAATATTTAATCTGCTTTAATTCTACAGAATTTTCTCTTTACTTTGATACCCACAGCGCTTTTCTACAATGCCCTGAATTTAAAAAAAAAAAAACAATTCCTTTAAAAATTCATATTTTTCAGATTTCAAAGTTCTTTAAATAACTCCTGAGGTAAAACAGAGAAATTAAAAACACAGTTTCCCTAATGTTGACCCATGGTTTTGGTAAAGTTCCCACTTGAAAACGGTTCAGTTTGGAGCTTTTGGTTCTGCCGAATAAAGTGCGAAGATCAATCTCAAGAAAAAAGTGCGAAATTATTTAAGCAAATTTAAGTGCCGTATTTTTTCAAGTAGGTTTTAAAATGTAGCTGCTTTCAAACACTTTTTTTTTAGAATACAATTTGTATTTAAAGTGCCGATAAATTTTAAAACCAACTTGAGAAATCGGCACTTAATCAGTAATAGTTATTACCTAAATATTAAATTAGATATAATTTTATTAGTTCTTAAATAATTTTCTAAATTTTCCACACACTGTGCGCTACGCTGCAGAAAATGTGTCTCAACGATGTGCTATAAATTCAATACTAATGCCAGTGGGGTGGTTAATCACTCCTAAGGTGTGCTTTTGTGTAGGCAGCAACAATATAAAGAACCAAACACAAGGACATACATAAATACATACAAACATATATACATATACATATACTTACACCTGTTGTTTGGCGTAGGTGGCGTGGTGTGCGAGTGTGTATCGTTTGTTAATTTTGTATCTTTTGACATTTAACATTTTCAAGCTTTGGAAACGACGTTGGCAAAAAGCAAAACAAAAGTCGCAGACAGTTCGACAATGGAGGTATATATCATGATAAAAATATAGTAAGGTAGAACCGCTGAGAGTCACTTTTAAGATTCTTGACGTTTCCAAACAATTTAATTTTTAAATTTACTCACAAACTCACACACACATTTTCATTTTCAATCTCAAGCAACAACAATTTCTAACAATTTCAATTTTTTATTTTCACTTTTATATGATTTTAAAATGTTGGCAAACTTCAAAAAAAAATCATGGCCGACAAATTGAGAGAACGGTTATACCTTGCTATGTTTTTATCATGGTATATATGTATGTACATACATACATACATACAGCGCACGCACAAAATAAAACAGAAATATTTTTGTTTGCATGCGTAAATGTGTGTGCACGAAGGCATGTTTCAAGTGACAGAAACTGGTAGAGAAAGACAAATAAAAGCAAAAAATAGCAGCTGCTGATATCAAGAACAATGAGGACAAAGGTGTGAGATTTGAAATCCCAGAGCAAAGCAGAGCACAGCTGAACAGAGACATGTACTTGCCATACATCTATATATGTATACGAGAACATTAGATTAATTGATAAGTATGAGAAAATGAGACTGTCCCACTGTGCCCGTTAGTTGGCGATTTAGCCTTGTACCCTTGTAGGAATTATATGCATACATACTTACTACATTGCTTGTAATAATAATATATCTTTATTTGCTCGATTAAAATAGCCCCCCCCCCCCACGAAGCTCCTCTTCAATGCAGAGAAATTACAATTTACGCAGTTCTATTTGCGCTTATCTCCTTGCCGACATTCCTTTCGTATTGTTAGTCTCAATTTTACCTTTTCACAAACAAAAGTTTTATCATTATTGAATGCTGCACACACACACACACACACACACACAACCATTCAAGCGCTTCAATAGACGCCAGCCATTCATTCTATTGTAATGTTGTACGTATGTATACATATTTGTGTATGTGTGTGTGTGTTTGTATACCTATAGCTTTGCTTTTTATATACTTTCAAGGATCTGTTGCATGCTTTTCGGCTGTGAAATACCAACATATTGACACAAGACAATGGAAAACCACAGGTCTTTCTTCTTTATTCTACAAATACTTTTGTACTGTTGTCTACCGTTTACGTTACGATTTTGCCTACCCACTTTCACTTGCTCTCTGATAGCTGATAGTTAGTTGGGCTGCACTAAATATCTGGTTTTCTTTAATTTAATTCACACTTAATCTTACGGGTATGTATACGATTGATTTGCCCATATACACTACCTTCACACGTACGTACATACGTACATATGTATGCATTGATAAATTTTTTCCAAAGCGAATTTGTTAGCAGCACTACACTTTAGAGACTAACCATCACAATACATAGATACCTTCTTATGGTTTTTAAACAATTTAAATAAAATTCTATTCAACAACAAAATAAAAAAAAATTAAGAAAAAATCACAATTCAGTGCAGAACACTTTTTTGCTGGCTGCTTCAATTCACTTTGCTTTGCTTATCTGATTTTTTTGCTACTCACTTCCGTCGAATGCGTGCGTACGCGACAAGCTTTCCGAGCAATCTGATAAGAACAGCAGCATCCTGTCGTGCTGCATAAATCCTACGCGCTTCTCCCGCTCCGCTTGGGATGCTGTTGCTGTTATCACACGGAAAGCGCAAGGTTTGTACGTTTTCTCTGGTGGCTGTTACAATACTCCAGCTTACACATTTACATTTACAACTTTCTGTTATTTACAATAAAAGCTACCGTACATTTACATTGAAGTTTAACAGCGGCATCTGGCGCTTATTTTACTCGTACGGAGCTTGAGCATTTCGACCAACAATAAGGACGAATTTCCCACCCTAAGTGAAACTGTTATAACAGCGTCCTTATTTTCCTTTTCTCTTTTATACCACTTCGGATAAGGATGACGTGTATAAAATCCCGTTATTGTTTTATTATTTTTTATTTTTGTTGCACACCCTGTTTGCTTAAATTTCCATACACAATTTTAGTAAAGCTTTCTTTCTTTTTAATAAGTACACTAATTTTTGGTCCTTTTCCAAGACTTTGATTTCGCCGTCAAAGTCAGTCAATCGTTATGGTAATTGCGAGCTAACAGCTTAATGTATTCGAACAGTAATGTAAGGAAATCTAGAGCTTAAAAGCTTATACATACTTTGTAATTAAATAAGCACAAGATAAACGGACGTTAATAGCAGCGCATCCTCTAAGTATAACCGAGGGGCAGCCAGTGACCCTGCTAGCACACATATTCCCTCAAGTTGTGGACCGGTTGTGATACCACGCGGATCGTTAGAGCCCTCCTACTCAAACCACCGTAAGAATTTCGCGAAACCCAGAAGTTAGCGTATGCCTACCTCGGCTATGTCGATTAGGTCTTCGAAGAATCCTGAGCCTGCAGTAACCGTAAAACTTGTGCAGAATCTCTCCACAGAAGTAATCTCATTTCACGACAGCTGAGACAGATCTGGGCTTCGACTCGCGACTGGTGATGCTTTCAGACCAATCGCTGAGATGCAGGATTGTTCAAGCTGATCTGGTGGGGTATCGACGAGCACATTCGTCATGCGTCTTGGCAGTAAACAAACTGCTCAGACACTTAGAGAAGGGGGTGGGCTATAATGTCGTTGCCTGTGCTAATGACCTTGAAATAGTCGTAAGTGGAAAATTCCCGAAAACACTATCCGATCGTATGCAGGTAAAATTATAAATTATGGTGGAAAATTAGGGCAACAAAAGCGGTCTTGAAGTAAACGCAAGCAAATCGAGAAGGTACAAGGTTCAGCGATTAAAGGTAACGATTCTGTCGAACATTGAACTCACCATCATTGAATCTGCGAAATATCTGGGACGCATACTGGATAAGCAACTAAAATGAGCGCAGAACACAATTGAGCGTGTGCGGAAGGCCATGGCCCATGGCAGCTCTCTTCATCATAAAGGTGTAATTGGCTTACAAATGCGAGAAGTAATGGATTACTGCGTGCAGACAACAATCTTCACCAAAGATTACAACGTGGAAATCCATAGAAGGGAACAATGGACCCAGGACTTTCAGGGACACATGGATTCTATTCCATTCTATATAAACGGATCTGAAATTGGAGTGGGGTTGTAGTCGGAACAACTAGGAGTACGAAAGTTATTCCGCCTACCGGAACACTGTAGCCTCTTCGGGCCGAACTCTTGTGTCTAAGCAGGAGTCAGGCTGCCGAATGTTTAATGACAGAAGCAATAGGTTGCAACAAGCTCAGATATCTGTCACATGTAACTCGGAAAATGGTATGAAATGCCGCAGATTACTTAACCGGTGCCGAGACACAGAGGTATACCCGGCAATGAGAAGGCGGATAAAATTGCACGGAAGGAACAAATATCAAGGGAGTTCCTTGTGTTCTGCAGAGAAGAAATCTTCTTGGTCATATGATTGTTGACTGGCCGTACCCAATATGCACAAAGCAAACATTTTCTCCAACATTTTTCCCAACGTTTGACTAAAAGTTGAATAAAGTTTGAAATTAAAATGATATCCAAGCTTTTCTCAAGTGGAGAACTCAGATTATTTAGCATACAAAAAATGTGCCCTTTTGTAAGAGAATGGTACACTTGAAAATCAACATTGGACCTTGGAATTCGTATTGGTTTTCCACTTTATCTGGAGATCGAGGAAGAGCATGAATCAGTAAGGCACGCATTCGTAAGGAGTAGACTAAGTTTCATGAGTGCTGGAACCGTGGGAGACCTGGCCGATTAAGCGGAAATACAGAAAAGGTGGTTGCTCAAAATTTGTCAACTCCACATAAATATTGCTTTATATAACGGGGTACCAAACCCAACGCACAACTGTATGCTGCCGCACAAATTCTTCCGGTGGTTTTGATAAGGACGATAGGCAAAGCACGCAAAGGTAAAATAAAGGATTGTCCTTTAAAATAAAGGACGGATAGTCACCGTAAGTACGGTAGACTACTCAGAAAAAAAGTATCGCATGACATGTTTGCGCCTGATAGCAGGCGTAATTCACCTTGACCACAACATTTCCCCTTTATACCAAATAAGGTTTCCTTTGGAGAAGTAGTGATTTCTGTGACTTTACTGAGATTTCATCACTTTTGCACAAGGGTTGTTATTTTTAACGAAAGCCATTCAAGGGGAGACGTGGTGTACTTGTAACAAGGCGCTGTGGTTAAATTGAAATTTTTTCTGCAAACAAAGTTACGCCCTAACTCACCATGGCACATGGTGGTTTTGTGAACGCGGAGAGCCGCTGCAAAGTAACATGTGATTGAAAGCTCTTTTGTGCAGCAGCGCTCGTTCTAACTAAGTAAATGGCTAACCTACATACACACATACATATGTACAAACGATGGCGTACACCAACAA